ATCGCCGTCGTGCGGAATATGACACAACATATGCCTATTCTATGCCAGCATTTCTTTGGCCTATTTTCGAGCAGCAACAGCGAACATTTAAGCGTAAAATATATTGTTTGGCTCCAACTTTAAAATTTTTCGACCATTTATTGATGAGCATACCTGTGGCGGAGAATTCGCCTTTGATGGAGCCGTTGAATTCACTGATCATGCGTACAATGGAAACTGGCCTGCTAGACCACTGGCACACAATGACGTTCATGAATTTGTGGGCAACAGGCAAGCTGTCGCTGAAGGACAACAGCAGCATCGAACAGTTTCGTGATATCCGATTGGAAGACTTGAAGTTTCCATGGTACTTACTATTCTGTGGATTGGGCGTGAGTAGTTTGGGTTTACTTATGGAAATTTGTGTGCACAAATTGAAAATGAGGACGAGATGTAAACGTGGAAAAGGAAAAATTACGTCTAAGTTGAGACAAATCTAAAATAGTTTTAAGATGTCTTTTAAGAATGTATGTGAATAACAGCACTGTGCGACAGTTGAAACCATCCCGGACTTTGCTAATATTTTCAGATAGTATACATATCCAGTAATAAATTACTAGATGGATTTGCAAAAGTTAGTTCGTACTTTTATTTTAGGACCTACTATAATTTTCATGCTCTTGCCTAATATAAGTGTTTATAACAAAAGTAGAAAAAAAATGTTAAAATAAATGTATGAGCTTTATTAAAGGTTAAGAAGTGTACAGTACAATTTCATGGGAAATATTTTCGTAGAATATTTTAACCTGTTAGCTCCCGCCTGAGAGGTTCGTTTTGACCCTACATCAAAAAGCAAATTTTGGAGGTCGTGAAGGGATTAAACTGTTCTAGAGAATTATTCTTAGGAAAATTTAAAAGGGGTTTTCTCAGGCAAAATCTTCCTGTCATCAACGTAAAAGTGTTATTTTACCTATATTTAGAGATTTTAATTTTTGAATAGTTGGCAACCCTCTTCGAAATTATTACTCCTGGAAGAGAACTGTCTGCATTTAAATAGGTTTCATTGACTAAAAGCTTTGCGATATTTTACTTGATTAATTAAAATTTTATACAGGGGACAATCCTATTCAAAAGATTGTATTTTTATCCTAAAGCGTTGAAGCTGGCCTTCAAAATGGATGAATTAATTGACTGGATATAGTGTGTCTAAGGACTCATATAAAAAAAAACTAAACAGGTTTATTTTAAAGCATTCCTCCCATACAAACCTAACTCCAATAAAGCTTAAAGTGTTAATTGCAGCGATGAATGCACGACTCCGAAATTTTGTACATTTATTTATAATCATACATTTATAATATAAGTAAACGTCTTTAAGATGGTGTAATCGATTTATTTTTACGCAAATCTCCCATACAAGCTTAACCTCAAAATGATTTAAGAAGCCATTCACATGTAAGGAAAAATCCTGTTGTTATACAAAGTACAAACTTGTGCAAGGTGAGTTATACAAAAATGGAAAGCAGAAACTCTATATACAAATATATATATTGTGCCTCACGGTGGGTAAAACTGCTTTTCCTTTAAGGTCAAAAACCAGCAAATTTTAATTCTTAGTAGAAATGCGAAAATTGCTAAATTCGGTGAAACAGATAATAAAAGATGAGATAAAAAATATTAACTTACCCTTTTATACATTATCACGTCGTTTAGAAATTAATTATCTTCATTACTATGATTTCTAAGGCTTGTAATATTTTCGGAGAGAAATAAGTTTTTTATTTAGATTTAGAGAGCGACCGAGCTTCGATTTTTAGAGCCGAACCTAATACCTGAAATTAAACAATTGTATGTTATAATGTAAAAATCAAAGTCTGTCGGCATTTTCACCTTACAACCGATTCCGTCTATCGGTGTTAGGCTAGGCGAACGATTCGTCGATGTTTTTGAAACATCGTTAATATTAGTTTAATAATTTTTAACATCGCCGACTTGACAATACATCGATGTCAATTTCAAAGATTTTTTAAACATAATAGACAAATAACGTAGATAACAAGAAGGGACAACACGTTATAATTGTAGCGAAAGT